TCATTTTATTATTCACTCTAAAAAGAAGAATAAAAAAATTATGAACCGTTTAAAAGTTGTTAAAAGTGGAAAATAGTAATATTCAATTGTGAATTCCAAAGACGGATTTAGTACATAACATATAAGTTCATATGAATTTAACAACTTTCGTTTAAATGAACGGATTTAGTATTCATTTTTTTAAAAAAAAATATCTTTAAATGTTTGATTATGAGTTATCTTTTTAGATTAACTTGAGATAGTTATGCAAAACAATAAATTTCAAATTCTGACTACGTTTCTGACTCCAATCAAAACTTCAAAACTCCATTGAGTGAAAGAAATATTATTGAAGAGAATTATTGCCACTCTAATCCATTCATGTAAGATAAGTATTCTTGTTGTTTTCCATGTGTAAAAAAGCAGGTCTATACTCTATATACCTAAAATTCTATACCAGACAATAACTATAAATTAGAAGGACCTGTGCATTTGAAATGACATTTCTGATCTTAATATAGAAATTTGTTTTGTTTCACATTTTATATCTTAATTCTTTACCTTGTTATTCTAAAAGAAAAATGAAACATAGTCATCAAGCAGACGAGCATTCTTTACCTTGAGTTTTATTCCTCAATCAGTAATAAGTCTTTTCAATGTCATTTTATTTCACCAAACTCCGTCCGTGCGAACTTACTTACATTAAAAAACAGAGAGTTATGATAAGCTGACAATCAATATAAACTTTACTTCCATGATACCTAATGTGATGAAGATATACAATAAACTTAAATAAAAGTAAAAATTTATATAGTTAACCTAACTTATTCAGTTCAGACTGAGATGTAATTTATTTTATATATATATATATATGTATCTTCTCCTTATCGTAAGTTTCTATTACTAGCCTATACGATTCCGCACATCTTTAGGCATTTGCTATATGATAGTGGTAACAAAGGAATAATTAAAGCTTCTGAATTTGGATATATATATATATATATATATATATATATATTCTTGTTTTTTACGTAATGAAACGGAAGAAAAATTAATTAGTATTATTTTTATAAAAAAACGACTTACACCTTCTCAGTATTATTTTTATAAAAAAAATAAAAATTGATCCACTATTATAATGCTATATTAATATATGACAAGTCAATTCTTTTCATATTCTTTTATTTAATGATTATGTGTGGAAATTAATTATGCCAATGTTTTTTTTTCATTGGAGTTGTCACTATTTAAATGGTGGATGCAATGAGAATTGAGAACCACCAAAATTGTAGGAAAAAAGAAGAAGAAATGGTGATAAAATAAAGATAAAGAAGGAGAATAATTAAGAAAGAATAAAGACAAACGTGTCATTGCCAAAGATTCCCTGCATTATTAACGTTTAATTTAATATAATGTTTTCCACTTAAAGTTATACTCAAATAAAAGGGAAAAAAGATAAATATACCCCCGAATTATCGTAAATGATATGTCAATACCCTCCGTTATACTTTATGATTGTATATACCCTTACCGTCAATATTTTAGGTTGTGTATACCCTTGAGACTAACGGTTGGACACATGGCTACATCTCAATAATTTACCTAATATTTATTTTTTTATCCGAAATTAAAAAACAAAAACCACCCATGTTCCCTAACCCATCCATAACCCGAATTAAAACCTATTTTCCATAACAATTCCCTTCAAACAGTGCTAATTGTTCATCTTCTTCTCTTCTTTAATTCTCAAAAAAATGTTGCACAAATAAAAAATTTCACTAACATTAGCCTCTTTTTTTTGTGTGTGTGTTTAGAGTTCATGGATGATTGCGCACAAAATCATCAAGTTAATTTTGTGATTGGCCACCGCAGTCGCCGCCTTCTTCTCCGAAGTTCACACAAACATTTGAATCATTAGAAATGAAATTCGTGGCATTTCTCTTGATGAAATGCAGTGATTTTTTGTCGGTTGTGTCCGCCTTGAAGAGGCACCCAGCTTGGCATTGACCTTGCTCATTAAGACCGCCGAAAAATCATCGTCGACGACCAATAGTGGTCTATCCGAGTTCAAACCGTTTGAATGAACCAAAATTTCTTGATGTTTGATTTTTCGTCTGTTGAAACTAATAGTTGGTTTTCGGTCTTTGAAACAAATTGTGCAAGGCAATTTAGTCATTGTGCCCATACAATGATGTATAAGCTAAATCTATGTGGCTTAAACTCCATGATTGACCGCCTTCTCTCTCACTGTAAAGTCTTTTCAGCTTCAACGAGCAGCCATGGCGAGGAACAAGTGAAAACGAAATTATGATAAAATCTGCACTCAGGCCACCATTGATGAGCTCTATAGAAGAAAGGAAAGAAAGCTAATAGAGAGCAATTGTGTTGTGTTGAGATTTTTATTATTCACACACTTCTATATTGATCCTTACAATCATGGATCCACTTATATACAGTGCATTTACAAAGTTAGTTACTAACTAACTATCCACTTGTCAACCTCTAATTGGAAACTTAATAACAAACTTCTTAACTAACTAATCTATACACAGTTATCAACTAACTATTCCTTCATTTCTACAGTGATGTTTTGGCACTTCAATCTTCAATGAGGATTGCTGCAATTTTAATGTAATTTTTTGTCATTTCTCTGTCTTCCTCTTTAATTTTTTTTAAGATTTGATTTATAAAGTATTGATCTTTCATATGTATGAACACCACATATTAATAAGGGGTACCCAAATCCAGCCAAAACTTCCATTGATTTTCAAAAAAGGTTTCAAGTGGGTTTAAAATAGAAATGGGGCGATTTTTTTTTAAATTTTGGACAAAAATAAATAAATAAATCGGGTTAGTCGTTGAAATGAAGCCACGTGTTCAACCGTTAGTCGCAAGGGTATACACAACCCAAAATATTGACGATAAGGGTATATACAACCTTAAAGTATAACAAAGGGTATTAACATACCATTTACGATAGTTCGGGGCATATTTATCCTTTTTCCCCAAATAAAAAGTTGTTATATATTTAGTACAAAATTCCTTCTTCTGGAATATGTTTTCCGATTCGAGCCAATGCCGGAGCCACATGTAATAAAGGGGATTTATGTAAATTAGAAGAAAAATATTGCTGAAAAATTATAGTTTTATAGAAGTAAATTTTCTGAATTCTCTTAATATTAGAAAAATACATGTTTAAATTTATGTGTGATAAAATAAATTCTTAAATTAAAATTTTCAACTTGGTTACTGCTTTCCGCTATGATCAGAAAATTTGAAACGTCAAACAAATTAACATCAATACTTTTAAAAGCCTTGAAATATTGAGCTAGAGGAAATATTTGGAAGAACTAGCTATTACCTTCTTCTTTTTTTGCCTTTCCATCTATATTCGTAATTCGCATTGAAGTCCAACTAATCTAAATATATACGCAAGATATGCTACTCACCAAAGTTTTTTTTTTATGAACTAGCTATTACCCATACATATATACCTTGTCAATTTTAAAAAATAAAATAAATTTCACTAAATATTTGATTATAGAGAATTTGTTTGTTTGACTTACTATTCACGTATACAAATAAGAAAGCCAAAGTGGAAGGAAAAGAGATACTACCAATATTGAAATGCATGGATTATTGCCGCTCTATTATATTGTTGCCATTATTATTGCCTTTGATTTTGAAATACAATACGCCAAGGATTAAGAGGTACTCCACACATTTATATGAAACAAAAATATCTATTCTCAGTACCCTTCCAATTTATTTTCAATGTCTTTCACTTATCCTTTTATCTTTTATCATCCGTCTCTTCACCATTGCTGTTAATTTCTATTTCTAGCTAGTCAGTTCAAACTTTGATGAACAAACTTATTTCCTATTGCGAAAGATGATAAGTATTCAGTGAAATTAATTAGTCGGGTGTAAGTGAGCTAGCTAGTCTTGTCAATCCCAGGACGGATGACATAAGAATTTTTTTCTTTCTATTTTTAGTCATCTTTCTAAATAGTTTTTGTGAACAAAGTTATTTATTACTTGCGTGGGTAGAAGATAATAGGGATCCCAAAATTAATTAGACGAATGTGTGCAAGCTATCTCAATTTCTAGTCATCGAACAAAGTTATTCTGAATTTGTATTGGTCAAAGATTTCATTTACTCCATGAAATTAATTGGTCGTGAGATGAAAACAAATTGATTCAAACACTACGGTAATAAAAAAAGTAGTTTATTTTCAATTGTCCAAGCCTATTGGTGAACAAATTAGTTATTTGTTATATATGTTGGTTTAAAAGAATAGGTACTTCAATAAATTAATTAGTTGAGTTACACTCGAACTGATTCAGAAATCCCGATTATAATTTTTTTATATATATATATATATGAATCCACCCCCCTACAAATTAAAGTTGTTATAACCTAATGAATTAAGCACAACATAGAAGTTAGAACTTATTCCTTTTAATTATAAACAAATAAAAACGCCATAAAGCATTGATCTAGTGCATGCTAAAATCATTGATTTAACAAATAATAGATTCTTCTTATGATCTTCTTTTGCTTTATGATTATGTTTAGAAATTAAATGAAAAAAAGGTGGTTGGGACATTCTTTTTTATTGCACTTTAATGGTGAAGTACTGAGAGCCACCAAAATCAGAAGAAAAAAGAAGTGAAGGAGAAGACACGAGAAATAAAAAGAAAAGGACAAACCGTAATACACAGTAAGTCTACGTTGTTGTTGATTAATTGGGAAAAGTTTTGACATTTTCATTATTAATAAATAAAAAGATTCCTTTGACAATATGCACTTTTAGTATATATTTCCAGTTAATCTTTTCACTAAAAGCAGTAGTATATTTTATTTAGCACGAAACCCCATGTGTTTGTGGATTAGAGGATGCCTTTTATCATTCCACTCAACTTAAGTTGGACCTCTAACTTCTTTGAAAATAAAATGTTATCGAATCTGATTTAACGTTAAAAACTAGCTTAAGAGATGAAGATCGTTCAAAATTATATAAAAAGTTTAAACTTTCTTCCCATTGTTGAAAGTTTAACTACATCACCATCAAATGCTTGTATGGATTCAACAAGGTTTTGACTACATTAAGTAATTGAAAATCTTACTGATACCGGATATCATACCTCTTTCAATGTGCGCCGTGCATCTTGCAACTCGTCATTACTTTGGCGCTCTTTCAACAGGAGAGTCTGGTTTAGAGACTCCATACATCCATCTCCTCCATTTTATCTTTCAGCTCCTCATTCATCTCTTTAATCTTATTCTGTACAGCTGCATCGTCATTGCCTCCAAGGTGCTTCATAACCTCTAGTTTTCCTTTAAGTTCTGCTATTTCCATTTCCAGTTTTTGCTTCGCATCAATGTCCCTCTCTAGCTCAAGAATCTTTTTCAAGGCCTCCTCCTTCTCCCTCTGGATATTTAACATCAACATAAGTAAAGCTCTGTTAACTTTGTGCTAACAACAATGGCAGAAACCCCAACTTGCAGCTTTTGCAAGAACCATATGCAGAAATATCCTTGCTCAAAAAATAAATACACACACGCAAAGACAGAGAGAGGAGCAGGGGGGGAGAAACATGATTATGAATGACACCTTTTGTTCTTCAACCAGTCTCAAGACACTCACATCAGCTTTTCTTTGTTCCACAGAGGCCATTTGAAGTGCTGAATTTCTCACATCATTCTGAATCAACAAAATAAAGTTCAACACATTATAGTTCGAAAGAGTTAGCTTTAGGGGACCAGAAGCTTGAAAGATACATTCTACCCACATAATATAGGCACAATGGAGCGCCAAAATAATGTAAGCCACTGCGGCTTTATCATGATAAGAGAGAAATATTTATAACTCATGCTGGAATTTGATACCTGTTTCTTCTCCTCATCAAGCTTTTGCTTTTCTCGCTCAGTTAAGGCTTCACGTTCATTCAGTTCTCTGCCCCAAGAATCAAGCTTCTTCTTCTTGCTCTCCAGCTCTAAGCTTAACATTTCCTGCTCCAGCAGGACCTTCTGTACATGCTCACGTGCAAGGCGTTGCATCTTCCGTGATTCTGCACCAAGTACACCTTAGTTATACTTTAGAAACTAGTGGAACTTTCTATTACCTGATGAATATCCAAAAAAGGAGCTCTTTAGCTTGTGAACTTTGTCAATCAAGGATCTAGTGACACCTTACTAGTTCTCAAAGCAAATGTAAGATGCATAAAGTTAGTTACATATTAAATAAAACTATTTTAAAGAGAGACGCTCTAGTGAATCCCTTTCGTCAAGGTTCTAGAGAGAGAATATTTTGAGAGGATGAACTTTGGGGAAATGATTTGGGTTTTGGAATATATGACTTAGTTGGGTGAGTTTTAGAGTTAAAAAGACTTATATAGTGACCCTTGGCTTAGGCAAAACGACCTCACTTAAGTTGGATTAAAACCAGAAAAGACCACTTAGCCCTCAACTTATAGTGAGCTGCCCAGGGACCACGTGACCTTATCTGTACCTTTGAGAAGGTAGAGGAGTTGTTTTCAAGAGACCCTTGGCTAAAAAAAACAGTTAAAAAGAGGCAATAGCTCCAAACAGAAACAAGAGCAAGATAATAAGATAGAGGCAAAACAACAAGAGGAGGATAGAGTGTACGTAGACCTTAAACCTACCTCATGGAATTAGAGAGGCTGTTTCCGAGAGACCCTTGTTTCCTTAGGTGTGCAAAGGCATTAAAAATTGGCTCTAAATTATTTTTATATGGTGGTTAGTTCTAAAATATTAGTGCAATAAGTAGATTCTGAGAGTCTATGTCGGTTGGAACCAATTTCCTAAATGAACTATCTCTGAACAATTTAAGTACACTATTTTTTATTACTCTAATTTGAAATTCCTAACAGTAGTCAAACCTATTTTAAAGTATAAATCAACAATTTTATTTAGTGATCAATGTAGCCCAACACAAGAAGCTGAAACTAAGGGTGTGTTTGGTATGAAGGAAAATGTTTTCTTGGAAAACAAGTTGATTTTTGACTTATTTTCCCATGTTTGGTTGATGAGTAGAAAATATTTTCCGAAAAAGATTTTTAGTGTTTGATTTATGAATGAAAAATGTTTTTGAAAAAATTCTTTTATTTTACTAGAGTAGAAAATAATTGTTGAAATTGAAAATATTTTTTAAAAACAAACTTAATTTTTTTTTAGAGGTGGGGTCGAGGATAGGGGTGAAAAATTGAAATTTTGAAGTTAAAAATATTTTTTGAAAACAAACTTAAATTTTTTTTTGGGGGTGGGTGAGAACAGCCGAGAATCATCGCAGCTCTGATTAAGCCTAAATTCATAAAACCAATCGCTAATACTGCAAAACCCTAACCGTAAACCCACAGAACTAAGGACAACAAAGGCATAAAAAAGCTTGTAGACAACAAAAATAACAAGTTTCAGCACAAAAAAAGAGATAAAAATCGAAATTATAACAACAAATTGGAGAAAAAATAGATCATTTTCTGCGTTCTGATACCTCTACGAAAAGGAACGATGAACTTGATTGAGAGATTTCTGAGCTCTAACAACAAAATGCAGGCGACGCCGACGGAGTTTGGAATTTCGATCGGGTTCCAATTTTATGAGTGGAAAAAGGAAAAACCTAAGGTAAAAAGAAGAGGGTCTCTGCAGACTGCAGTACCCAGTACACACTCAGATGGAGTAGCGTATGGATGCCACGTGTAGAAGGACAAGACTAAAGGGGTTTGCATTTTTTTCATTTTAACACTTCAACCCTCAAGTTTATTTCGGTTAAATCTTTAACCCATTTCAAAACCATTTTTTTACTAAAGACATGTTACCCTTATTTAGAAGTGGCACTTCTAAAGGATGAACACTGCATCATATTGTTGTACCCAAGGAAATAGTATTTGTACTAGCAATTTCCTACAATCTATTTTCATTTATTTCCTACAATCTATTTTCATTTATTGTTACTGTACTACTTTCTACATCTTTCTTTCTCTCAAAGTAATGCTTTCTCTGTGCTCCAAATCGGTCTTCTTCGGCGTTGCTTCAAGGCTCCATGTCTTTTTATTATTGTGATGGTTAGATTTTTTATTTTCTTCTCGAACTATTTTCTGTATTTTATGGGTCTGCTATATTAAAGACAATTGAAAGTACTGAGAGATTCGTGCCTTTTTGTATATTGATAATTTAGTCTAAAAGGTACATTTTTTATTTGAAAAAGTTTATAGTGATTATTTGCATGTCATTTCTATGAATTCTTAATACTCCCTCCGTCCACAATTGTTTGGCAGGTATACTAAAAATAGATGTCCAAAATTAATTGTTAATTTAAACAATCAAGAAATAATTAGTCACTTTTTTCCAATTCTGCCCTTAATGATAGTGTAGTTCAATTGAAAAGTTAGGTGGACTTTTGATATTCTTGGTATAGTAGGGTTATATTAGTAAAATTACACCTTGTATTAAATTTTCCTTGAGGGGTGTGCATGACCTTACCCTGACAAACAATTGTGGACGGAGGGAGTATTTGATATTTCTTGAATATTGTATACATATGGAAGATGCGAGAATGTGAAATAGCTATTTAAAATTTCTACATGTGAGTGTTTGCATTTTCTTCTCACATTTTTATGATATAATTCTCTCTTTTTGGTGTTCGAACACTGCATCACTTGGTGGTATAAAGGGCAACCTTATTGGTTCGATTTTTCAAGAGTAGAAATTATTAATTTTCGATCTAGATACAAGTTTTGGGAATTCACTTAGTATTTTAATTTTAATTTTTAACTGTCGTTTGGAGTTCTATTTCTCATAATGTTTAAGGTTTTTGTTTGTTTACTTATTGCCCTGCAGTAGTTTTCCTTCTAAATTATTTCTTGATTTTGACATACCTTTAAATCTTGGCTCATGTTAGTTACCAGGGTAACAATTCTGCTACTATGTGGAACATGTTTCTCATAAACTTATAAGCAACCTTGAAAGTTTTTGGACTAATTAAGGTAGTAGGATTTAATAGAAAGTAAATTATTGACTGAAAATTATTACTTTCAGAACGAAAATATAGTGAAACTTCTTCTTATGCCTACACTTGAGGACCTCTTATTTCACCTTCCAATCTAATAGACTACTTGATTAATCAATTGTTTGTTTTCGAGTAGTTTTTTACTATATCTTGGATATGTTCAGAGAAAAATGATCCAGCGACCTAGACATGAGTGAAGAAATTAACGTATAATATTTCTTTTGCCTTTCTCAGCTTAAGAGTGATCAAGATATCCGAAAAACTTTTAGGTGAAGCACTATGTTCTGCTTGTACCGGTGAGGACATACGACTTCTGCTGAAATAATTATTGTTCACTACACCGTAGGCAATGTGGAGGTGACTTTTTTGGAGATGTTTGAGTCTTAACTGTAAATACCCTCCTCCTTTGGCACTCTGATCTATCTTGCACTCATACCACTAAAGAACCAAGGTAGTTTTCTTCAATTTTTGTGTTTATAATATATAAATGTGTCTTATAGTTATGGCTATGTATGAATTTTTAATAAAGATCGAGTGTTACAGTAGATGAACTCACTCCCTTTCTATATTTGCCTCTTTTGTTTTGTTTTCAAAAGAACTAATAATAAATCAATAGACATTATTATCTAGACACAATATTATTGTGATCCAAAGGTATCAAAGCTAATCTAAGTCAGAGACAACACTAAATTGAGATTCCAACTACATCTGAAAACATGCTGCTAATTCAACTGCCAAGTCATGATCCTTCTGCGCTATCACCTTATGAGTTGAATGACCACATGTGACATGAGAGCTGAAAAATTAGAAATCATTGTTTCAAAATTATGAATAGGATGTCATAATGGTATCCAAGAGAGTAACAACATATAAATGAAATAAGACTACGAGAGAGATCTGTTGATCTGTTTTAATAACCGTGCTGATAAGTCAAGATGCCACTTTCTGTTAGATTACCTGAAATTCTGATTTTAGTAGATATTTGCATCTATTTAGATTTGATGTCTCAATTTATTATGATAGTTAAGAATTGATGAAAGACTACTATTTCAAATACTCTATATAGTGTTGTTATGATTGATGAGATAGTGCCGTTTTGTTTCTATGAGATTTTTTCCTTTGTTGTATGAATTTCAATGTCCATTTGGATATAAGAACTAAAACCTGAAATTCGGTAAAATAACTGTTGAAAAAATATTTCTATTCTCAAACTGAATTTTTCGTTCCAAGTCTTAAAAGAAGAGAGGATCACTGATAATTCAAATATTTAAGAACTCTTTAATAAGTTTTGCTCTCTTATAATATAATAAATTCTTATATGTACTAGACTTTCTTCTATAGTCCTATATTACCTTGCACGTAACAATGTTATTATAATCAAAAACCTTGGAAACATATGTCATATGTTTAAGAAAGTTTATAGGGCAAGAAATGTAACAAGACAAATGAATATCAATTACTTTGTTATATTATTTTTTGAGCATTTTATTTATGTATTGGTAATAGTTGAATTGAGTTTGTATTGTTTGTTTTAAGCTAATTTTTATTTTCTTGCTAAAAAATTGTAGTTGTGTTAAGCAAATGACTTTACTGTACTGATGTCTACTATATTAAATAAAAATCTTACCTTACTTTAGTAACTATATAACCAATCCATTTCACACGCTTACAAGTTACAGCTTTATAGTGTCATATATGTTGTTCATGTTTCTCAGAGACAACTTTTATATCCGACACTCAACAGATAGGAAAATTAGGTGTGGCATCGTAGCGGGGGCGATCATATGCTGCTTCAGAGTTCCAGATTTACATGTAAGTTAATATGCCACTTCTTGTTAAGTTGTTTGAGGCAACTTCACATGAGTTTAGTTGATCTTAGCAGTTATTTATATCAATTTACATTTGATGCTTCATCGTAGTGCGGTTGTTTCGAATTATGAAATGAAAATCGTTCTTCACTTTGATGTTAATTAAAATTTTACAGTAAAAATTGATCGGTAATACTTTTCAAGAATGGAGCAAGGATTGCAACCACCATATGACCTCTACAATCAGAAAATTTTGCACAACTAAGTAATACTCTACGTTGCATTGAACATGAAAAAATTATCAATTTATCTTAAGTATTGTACGAAAGTTTTGATTCCCCTGTTTTTGGGAGAAATATTGGAGCACCATCATATATGGCACCAACATTAAGTTTACGAAAGTCTGGTATTGAAGTACCATCGAAGTATATGCAAGATTCATTATCAAAATTGCGAAGATGGAGTTCAGATTTTGGTGTTGTGAAGCCAGAGTCTTTAAAATTAGGATTGAAATTCAAGAATCCAATGCAAAGGGCTACTACTTCACTTCACAGTAAAACTTCTAAATGGGCTTTGTCTCCTGGAAGGCCGAATTCGCCTCCTGCGTTTATGGAGAATAGAGGAATTTTTACATCGACTAAGAAGCCTCCGACGAGTCCTTCTAAGGGGAAAAATGTTGGGAATTTCCTTAGCATGGGGCTTGAATTTCTCAAAAGGTAAGAAATTTTCTTCTGGTGCAGCATCTCTTCTTATAAATGGAACCACAATCGGCTATTATGGCTCCTTAACATGCATCAGATGTACCTTCATCGATCAAGGTAAGTTTATCTTCATTGTCACTTTCTGTTTATCAATTTTTCGGGTGAAATAGACAATATGAAAACATAGATAACTAGAGATCAAAATCAAGAATACATTTATGGGCATGTCGAACCCCTCTTTCTATGGTTGAGTTAGCCCATGACTGCTAGATCAGGAAGAGCCAACCATACGTAAGAGGAGACAACTAATTAATGGATGTCACTGTTAAATTTCTTTTTAGTTTGAGGTATGTTTCATTATATTTTTTAGTAGATCAACTTCATCCAAAAAAGTTTATTAGTTGTGACCAATTACACAAATATGATCACCTTCTCACCCAACTTCAGTTCTTTGGATCTTTCATTCAGCAACCTAAAATTATGATTTAAGAAAAAATGTTTCTACCATAGTAAGCCCCTATGTAGTGTAATAATGCTATTGCAACGTCCATTCAAGCTTGATTTCTCATTCTAATCTTATCCTTTAATTGCAAAGTTGTCAATGTATCGTTGGTATTGTATAAAAATAGTCTCCAGTCGCTAAAAAAGTTGGTGATCTACTTTTCAAGAAGCCCTAGATCATATGACTTTTCTGATTATTTTGTTTATTTTGAATGGACAAGTTCTTCTTACTTACCACTAATGCGATATCCTGAGGAAACACCCATTTGGGTGTGTTAGCTATGATAGTTTTTTTTTCCAAAAAAGTTGTTCATACTTTTTAGTTGTGGTTTTATGTTTCTCCAACTCTATTGAGGGAGAAGTTCTATTTTCTCGTGGTGTTCGATTGTCTTGCGAATTTGTGATGGTTCTTTATATATCAAGTTGAGATATTAGCTATTAGAACATCAGAAAGACAAAGGCTTTCTTAGGGAAGGAAAAAACATCCTATACAAAAGAAAAGGAGAATATTGTATGTATGAAGAGATATGATCTTTCTGAAAATTTTGATCTTTTAGCTCAATTGACATAACAATGTATCCCTAGGGAGAGTGCTTGTGACATGAGGATCTTCTTTTATTATCATACAAGGTTAGGATATTACAATTGTATTTATCATTACAAACATACAAGTGCCTTTACCTATACTATTGTATCTACACAAATATACAACTGCTTTTATGTATACACTTGCATATACAATGTTTCTATTTAAAGAAAATTATGTTGTACATGTGTACACAGGAAGAGGTGTGTATATTTTGCTACAAGGGTTTGAACTATGGAAAGAAGAAAAACAATAGAAGGCTAGCCCTATTTGAGATAGCAAAAGACTGAGGGCAGGCTCAAAAAAATTTCTCTACTTTTGTGTACTAATGATGCAAATAATATACTATAATTATCATGAATTAAATAATAGTATTCAAAATATAGTTCATCTTTCAATTACTTCAACAAATTTGAAATGGAAAATGTGTTCTGGTCATTGATGTGTGACGAATGAACCTTATGACCACCATGGTATGATTTTGCTCTTTTGTACCCTGCACAATGTTCTGGTTGAAGGATAGGGTTGGAGTACTATGATATGTTCTGGTTGAAGGATAGGGTTGGAGTACTATGATATGTTCTGGTTGAAGGATAGGGTTGGAGTACTATGATATGTTCTGGTTGAAGGATAGGGTTGGAGTACTATGATATGTTCTGGTTGAAGGATAGGGTTGGAGTACTATGATATGTTCTGGTTGAAGGATAGGGTTGGAGTACTATGATATGTTCTGGTTGAAGGATAGGGTTGGAGTACTATGATATGTTGTTCATATATCTATAATGTTTTATTTATCAGACTTCATATGTGTTTACTGTGATAAAAATACTCATACTATTGTCTATTTATCCTTCAATATGAATCCATGCTTGCTTGATTTTATTGTATGATGGAAAAATTACAAAGATCAATATTAATATTAGTATATTATTTAAAAGTACCCAAGAACTTATCTACTCCAGACATGTAAATGATATTATCATATTTTACCCATGTTTATAGAGAGTAGAGACATTCAATCAAAGTATCAACTGCTTTAAATATATTATTATTACTACTATCCAACGAGAAAACATATATCAAATTTAAATATGTTAGCACGGGCCTTTGCCCATCTAGTATAAAATAGAGTGCGTAGATTTTAGTGAAAATTGCGCAAAATGACAAACATCTCAAAAGTATATCATTATGTAATAAATTCAGAATTTGTATAATTCGGTTCATAATTGTATAAATTCAGAATTTGTATAATTCACTTCTTGATTGTATAAATCTAGAATTTGTATATGCTTACTGTAAATTTGTATAATTCGGTTCTTAATTGTATAAATTCAGAATTTATATAATTCACTTATTGATTATATAAATCTAGAATTTGTATATGCTTACTGTAACTATTTGTATACGATTTATGAAAAATAATAAATTATCATGTTTGTATATTAGCAAAGAAATATACAAATGAAATTCTAAGAAATTTCTAAATGTATAAATACAAAATTTGTATATACTTACCCTGTTTGTATATTCGCAAGTGAAATATATCAAGCAAGCGAAATATAAAAAATTGAATATATTCTAAGCTACATGAATTGGGCTACCTGTTGTTATTTCTAAGGAAATTTACACAATACACATAGTGTTAAGAACTAATTACATCATATCTCTACTCTTTTCAAAATTACAAAAAAACTCTTAAATTTGGTGGAATCCGGATACATCTCAAAATGATATGATACATCGTGTACTGGTTTCAGATACATTCCAACATTTTGATACATCGCATCTCAATTTTGGATACATTACTCAATGTTTTGATACATCGCGTAAAGTGATGTATCCCAAAATATGAGAAAGTAGGAATTTTTGTAATTTTTTTAAATGATGGGAAATTTTAAAATATATAGTAAAATGAGCTGTATATTTAGATAATTTTTCCTATTTCTATTCCATTTCCCATTTCCTAGGCATTGATTGGAAATTGGAAATGTTCTTTTGGAGTTGAAGAAATATTGGGCCTTTTAATATTGCAGCCAAGGAAAATGATGGGCTTTTAATTGTTGGTTAGTGTGATTGGCATTACTATGTGGACTAGCCCAGTTTGAGTTTTGGTGCCTACCTTTGCAGTTTAGTGTTTGTCCTTTTCATAATGATGATGGAGAATAACTTCTAAATCTGTGGATCAGGATTAGGGTGGATTGGTAAGTATAATCAGAGTTTTTGAATTCAAGTTTTCTTCGGTATGTAGGCGCCTTTGTTAGGAGCGTTTTACCTGCACGAATCCGAATTTAATTGAGCCTCAATACAAATATCGAACACTAGATAAATTATTTTTAAAAAAAATAATACTCCAAGTAGATGAAGAAATGAATAAAGGTGTAACAAGACAAGCTTGAGCCTAACGTTTTGGACCGATATTAGGTACGTAGCGTAAAATAGCATATACTACTATAGTCCTACAAGCTGCTAATTTTATTCAACTTTGTAGCTAGAATTGATGCTCATTTTATTATTCACTCCAAAAAGAAGAATAAAAGAATCATCAACTGTTTAAGTTGTTAAAAGTGGAAGTAATATTTAATTGTGAATTCCAAAGACGGATTTAGTACGTATATAAGTTCACGTGAATTTAACAACCTTTGTTTAAATGAACAAATTAGTATTCAAAAATTTATTTAAATATCTTTAAATGTTTGATTGTGAGTTATCTTTTTAGATTAACTTGAGATAATTATGCAAAATGATAAATTTCAAATTCTAACTACGTTTCTAACTCCAATCAAAACTTCAAAACTCCATTGAGTGAAAGAAATATTATTGAAGAGAATTATTGCCACTCTAATCCATTAATGTAAGATAAGTATTCTTGCTGTTTTCCATGTGAAAAAAAAGCAGGTCTATACTCTATATACCTAAAATTCTATACCAGACAATAACTACTCCCTCCGTTTCACAAATAATGATCTCCTTTTCTTTTTAGTCAGTTTCAAAAAAATGACCTCTTTCCTTTTTTGGTAACATTTTACTTTTGTTTTCCACGTGGCATGTTTAAGACCACAAGATTAAGGGCAATTTTGTACATTTGACATAACTTTAATTTAGGACCACAAGATTCAAAAGTCTTCTTTAATTTTTTAAACTTCGTGCCAAGTCAAACCAGATCAATCTTTTTGAAACGGAGGGAGTATAAATTAGAAGGACCTGTGCATTTGAAATGACACTTCTCTTAATATAGAAATTTGTTTTGTTTCACATTTTATATTATATCTTAATTCTTTACCTTGTTATTCTAAAAAAAATAATGAAACATAGAGCTATAAGAACCATTCATATCTCATCAAGCATGCGAGCATTTGTTCTTTACCTTTGAGTTTTATTCCTCAATCAGTAATAAGTCTTTTCAACGTCATTTCATTTCACCAGACTTCGTCCGTGCGAACTTACTTACATTAAAAAAAGGAGGGTTATGATAAGCTGACAATCAATATAAATTTTTACTCTCATGATATCTAATATGATGAAAATATACAATAAATTTAAATAAAAGTAAAAATTTATATAGTCGACCTAACTTATTCAGTCTCATGTAATTATTTTTTTGTTTGTATTTATCTTCTCCATATCGTAAGTTTCTATTACTAGCCTATACGATTATGCACATCTTTAGGCATTAGCTATATGATAGTGGCAATAAAGGAATAATTAAAGCTTCTGAATTTGGATATATATATATGCTTTTCTTTTACCTAACGAAACGGAAGAAAAATTAATTAGTATTATTTTTATTAAGAAAACGACATACTCCTTCTCATTTTTATTTTTATAAAAAAAATAAAATTGATCCACTATTATATTGCTATGTTAATATATGACAAGTCAATTCTTTTCATATTCTTTTGTTTAATGATTATGTCTGGAAATTAATTATGCCAATGTTTTTTTTTTAATTGGAGTTGTCACTCTTTAAATGGTGGATGCAATGAGAAATGAGAACCACCAAAATTGTAGGAAAAAAAAGAGAAGAAATAGTGATAAAATAAAGATAAAGAAGGAGAATAATTAAGAAAGACTAAAGACAAACATATTATAGTGTACTTAATCATTGTCATTACCAAAGATTCCTGCATTATTAACGTTTAATTTTTAATGTATTGTTTTCCACTTAAAGTTAATACTCAAATTAAAGCTGTTATATATTTAGTACAAAATTCCTTCTTCTGGAATATGTTTCCGTTTCGAGCCACCGGAGCCACATGTAATAAAGAGGATTTATGTAAATTAGAAAAAAAAATTGTTGAAAAATTATATAGCGTAAAGTAATTTTTCTGAATTCTCTTATTATTGGAAAAATACATGTTTAAAGTTATACTCAAATTAAAGTTTTTTTTATGAACTAGCTATTACCCATACATATATACCTTGTCAATTTTTTTTTTAACGAATTTCACTAAATATTTGATTATAGAGAATTTGTATGTTTGACTTACTATTCACGTATACAAATAACTAATAAGAAAGCCAAAGTGGAAGGCAAAGAGATCCCACCAATATTGAAATGCATGAATTATTGCCGCTCTATTATATTGTTGCCATTATTATTGCCTTTGATTTTGAAATACAATACGCCAAGGATTAAGAGATAACACATTTATATGAAACAAAAATATCTATTCTCACCCTTCCAATTTCTTTTCAATGTCTTTCACTTATCCTTTTTATCTTTTATCATCTGTCTCTTCACCATTGCTGTAAATTTCTATTTCTAGCTAGTCATATGTTCAAACTTTGATGAACAAACTTATTTCCTATTGTGAAATTAAGATGATAGGTATTCAGTGAAATTAATTAGTCGGGTGTAAGTGAGCTAGCTAGTCTTGTCAACCCCAAAACGGATGACATAAGAATATTTTTCTATCTATTTTTAGTCATCTTTCTAAATAGTTTTTTGTGAACAAAGTTATTTATTACTTGCGTGGGTAGAAGATATGTACCATGTATCCCAAATAAGATGAGTTGCGTGCAAGCTAACTCAAGTACTGGGGTTATAAGAGAAAAAGAATATTTCTAGTCATCTATCAAACCCTTGATGAACAAAGTTATTCCGAACAAATTAGTTATTTGTTATATGTGTTGGTTTAAAAGAATAAGTACTTCATTAAATTAATTAGTTGAGTTATACTCAAACTGATTCAGGAAACACGATTATAATTTTTCTTTTATATATATATATATGAATCCATTGATCACCTACAAATTATTGTTAAAGCCTTAATGAATTAAGCACAACATAGAGGTTAGAACTTATTCCGTTTAATTATAAACAAATAAAAACGCCATAAAGCATAGATCAAGTGCACGATGGATTCTTCTTATGATCTTCTTTTGCTTTATGATTATGTTTAGAAATTAAATGAAAAAAAGGTGGTTGGGACATTCTTTTTTATTGCACTTTAATGGTGAAGTACTGAGAGCCACCAAAATCAGAAGAAAAAAGAAGTGAAGGAGAGAAAACACGAGAAATAAAAAGAAAAGGACAAACCGTATTACACAGTAAATCTACGTTGTTGTTGATTAATTGGGAAAAGTTCTGACATTTTCATTATTAATAAAAAAAAAGATTCCTTTGCCAATATGCACTTTTAGTATATATTTCCAGTTAATCTTTTTACTAAAAGCAGTGTATTTTATTTAGCACGAAACCCCATGTGTTTGTGGATCAGTGGATGCCTTTTATCATTCCACTCAACTTTAAGTTGTCATCGCTTAATTTGAAACCTCTAACTTCTTTGAAAATAAAATATCATTAAATTTAATTTAACTTTAAAAATTAGCTTAAGAGATGAAGATCGTTCAAAATTATATAAAAAGTTTAAACTTTCTTCCCATTGTTGACTTCCTCCCAGTACGTACATGACTGGACATCTAGAATTTAGGCAATTTAACAAGCGGTCGAACATGATAAACGGATGTGTCTCTGGTTTTAATAACATCTTAAAAAATAGACATTCGACCTAACTCTATCCTAAAAGCTAGCTCAAGAAGTGGAGACTGTTCAATACCATCCAGAGTTAAGTATCGACTTTAAACAGGGCTGAAATCTAAATTTGAAATATGTAAAACTAATTTAATGTACTCTACTAATTTGTATTTATTTAATATATTAATATGAAAGTTACTGAATTCGACTGAACTCGTAAGGAATATTCTTGCTCCACTCCTGCTGATATAATACCCATTATTAAAAGAGAAACGTTCTTTATTAGAACTGGTAACTTCAGTACCTTAGAAGTCATGAAATGTAGAGAAGTCAAAGTGGAATATTGTCAAGTGAATTGTTACAGAATCTTCCAGCTTATATAATGAAGCACTTTGAATTGTTAAATACCTCTTTTAATTAAGACTTGTAGCTAGTTACTACTCTCTTTGCATGACAAATAACTTTTAGTTCTAGGAATCTATACGTTTTGATTTTAATTTAGAAGGTTAGTGGAGAAATGGACTCATCCACATGTTTTATAAGTATTTTCTCCGTCTAAAATAAATGATAGAAATTTGTGTGGCTATAAATCATTTCACTAAGGGTAAAATGGACATGTTAAAGTTAAAGTTATAGAATAGAATCGTACTACCGCTGTCGATGCCGGTGCTGCTTGCCGACGGCCCTTCATTTACTTCTGGAGTCAACGATGCCGCTTTTTCCGTCACGGAAATATGTCTTTTTTTTTTAGACTGGCTAAAAAGGAAAGTAAGTCATATAAACTGAGACGGAGGGAGTAAATGAAAGGCTAATGGAAGGTAGTAGAATAAGCATGGTCGACCTGGTGTTAAGATTTTATTCATCTTTTCTCCTAACAATTAATCATGATAACATTAATCAAGATGATTTACTTTATTAAAGGAAGATGATTATAAATTGATTTTTGCCCACTTCCAAGAAATTCACCTACCATGATTCTTCCCCTAGCTCCTGTTTATTTTTTCATCAAAAGAAAGCAAAGATAGCAGCATGGATAACTAAACACCGCGTGTGCAAAGACTTTATTTCAATGACAATAATAACATTTTAGTGTATTCTTACGGACGGAGATACTGTTTTCAATAGACCATGAACTCAATAGCAAAGATGCAGCATCCATAACTAAACACCGCGTGTCCAAACACAAATTTAACTTTCAAATATATGTCAATCTTTAAATATCAACCAATTCATGTCCAAACGTCTGCGTTGTTGCTGGAAAAAAATAGTCAGCTCCCTGATTATATTTGTATAGTGAATTGGATCTTGTGTTCAATAACAAGATCAAGTGGAAACACATGACTGCTGTCTGGAGTTCAAATGCTTTGTTCTTTTAAATTTTCCAAATACAAAGGATTTTGATTCTTGCCCCACTTTCCACTTCCAAAAATCCCACTTTCCTTTTCAATCTTTCAATTCCATCCACAAACTTTTTCTCCAAGTCAAACATTCTTCATGGTTAATGATGCAAAATAGAACTATAAATAGTATTCACTGGCCAGGCTCACTGTCAGTTTACACAAGGACAAAGTAGAGTTAACTCAACTTTGTCTAGCTATTAATACATTGTAAGAGTATTTGTGTAATTCTGCCCCTGACTTCAATTACAAACTCTTATTTCTCGGTCTAACTTGATAATCTTTGAGATATAGGCCTCTTTTCGACTTTAATCTCATAGGAACAAGTTGTTGAGAAATCAATAGACACGATGGACCCTGAAGAAGGTGTGTCAGCTCCTTCAACACCAGCAACTCCGGGAACGCCTGGTGTTCCTCTCTTTGGTGGATTGATCAAGCATGAGAGGAGAAACGGAGGGAATGGCAAAAAATCCTTTCTTAAGAGCTGTAAATGCTTCAGTGTCGAACCATGGGCCTCTGAAGAAGGAACTTTGCCTGCTGTTTCATGCATGTTACCTCCTCCTCCTGTTTCATTAGCTAGAAAGGTGAGAAAAGTACAAACGGAGACGATGATTCAGGATTTAAATTACGTTACTCAATTTTTTTGTCAAAAATGTTGAGTTCAGTTGAACGTGTTGATTATAGGCGAATGCAATGTATAGCTGATATGAAGATTGGTTTTGTATCAGGTGGGAGCAGAGTTTATAGGTACTCTGATACTAATATTTGCTGGGACAGCCACAGCCATAGTGAACCAGAAGACACAAGGCTCTGAAACATTATTTGGACTGGCAGCCTCGACGGGCCTCGCTGTAATGATTGTGATTCTGTCAACTGGCCACATCTCTGGAGCTCATCTCAACCCTGCTGTGACTATTGGTTTTGCTGCTCTCAAACATTTCCCCTGGAAACATGTATGAATACACGCTCTGTACCACTTAGGACTCATTTGTTAGCACTTAACGGATTGTTTATTTTGCATGTGTGTTAATTTTTTTCACAGGTTCCTGTGTACATTGGAGCACAAATTATAGCATCATTTTGTGCTGCATTCACATTGAAGGTAGTTTTGCACCCAATAATGGGTGGTGGAGTCACTATTCCCTCTGGTAGTTATGTTCAAGCTTTTGCTTTGGAATTCATCATCAGCTTCAATCTCATGTTCGTTGTCACTGCCGTGGCCACCGACACTAGAGCTGTAAGCATTTACTCTTCTGATGGTTTCTCTGTTCTTACTTGTCAATTCAAAAATGGTTTGTTTATTTATTCATTTCCGAAATTTACTCACATCGGATATGTAAGCTAGAGTTGTTTTTTTTTGGCAAACTATAGGTAGGAGAGCTTGCGGGAATTGCTGTAGGAGCCACTGTCATGCTCAACATACTAATAGCAGGGTAACTATCTGCAACTCTTTCCCTGTTTAAGCTGTAGTCCTATGGTGTTCATTTTTGCATCTTGGAGTATTCATCCAACAAGTAACAACAATCCTTTTTTTGGGCTCAACCATAGTCTCCTGAGCTACGACTACCTAAAAATCATAATCATGTCGTGTAAGACCTATTTAGGGGAATGGTTTTTCATCTCATGGCTCGACCTAAAACTTCTGATTAAGGGTGAAAAAATTTATATCCATTCCTACCATACTCTTTATTTGCACAAAGATCTTCAATCAAGATTGAGTAGCTATTTGTTTCTTGGAGTGTTTTTCATGCTGATGGAAATGTTCCCCTGAAATGAAGATCCATGTACTAGTTAAAGTGTCTGTTTGTCCAGCTAAATGGAAGCTTTAGAAGTTACTTTAGATGCATATAGTAGCAGCTTACTTGAATAAAATACTTCTACCTCGTTTTCCATTTATGTGATACTTTTTCTTCTTTTAACTTTGACAACTTTTTGAAGCACAATTTTTTTCTATAACTAATAATTCTCAAAATATCTTTTCAACACATAATTACTCCGTCCAAACAATGATCTGACATAAGATGAATGAACAACTAAGGAAGTAATACATATATAATAATGAAATAATGACAGCTTCCATGGGAATCCCTTTAGTAGCCTGTGAAAAAATAAGACTCTAAAATAACAGTCTCTCACAATTTGTATTTCTTGTGTTTTAGGGAGACAACTGGGGCTTCAATGAATCCAGTGAGAACCCTCGGACCAGCAGTAGCAGTAGGAAACTATAAAGCCATCTGGATCTACCTCACTGCTCCAATTCTTGGAGCTCTCATTGGGGCAGGAGTTTACTCTGCTGTCAAACTGCCTGATGAAGACGGAGACAATCATCCAAAGCCTTCCCTGGAACATAGTTTCAGAAGGTAATTCATCAGTAACACCATCAAACCATGATAATCGCCTATATTTGTAGATGGTGTGCAGTTCTATGAATGTAAAAACATCTGGAAGGCAAGGGTGGGTTGAATAAAGCAAAATCTTTCCACTCTCTCCAAATGTACAGATTTTGAGCAAGATATAACTTATCAAAGAACAGATTAGAGCAAGATATAGTGAAGGAGAGAGGAAAGAAAGGAATGAACATTGGTGAGCTACTATTGACAAAACTTATGCGATGTGTAGAATTGGTGAGTTTTTACTGGATTGTAAAAGAGATTTCTGTATAACGTGTTTAAGTTCACAGAACTAGTGCCAAATGAAGTGCATATTCTTTTTCTTATTCATTTGTCTGAAATCTTGGATGGGTATGAAGTACAACTGAGAGTCTCCTACATCGTCTCTTCAGGATAATTCCAGCCATTGTGAATAATTAGGAAGCCAGCTAAACTACACTGAAACAGATACAAAATATGAAAGAAGTATTGTGCATATATATACTGCCAAATTGGCACAGGGGAATCCAGCTTATTATCATATTAAAAGTTTTCCTTTCTGCAGTTACAGCGCTGCATAACTGGAATATAACTCTCCATATTGAGTTCAACCTTGGCACGAAATTGTTAACTCTGTGCACTACTGATTTAACTATTAAAATTTTCACCACCAACATTTTTTTTTCTTTTATAAACATGTTTCAGTATTGATCATTTACCTCAAGAGATGGCAAGTAAATTGTCCGTTTTCTGTTATGTCACTTGAATGCAAAAAAGGACAATTTACTTGCTTTGTCACTTGAATGCTAAATCCATGTGAAAAGCAAATTCAACTACCTTCAAAAAGAGGTACTATAAAAATAAGACAGTAACAAGGAAGCCCAAAATCCGCTTTCGTTGGTAGATTTGACTATTTAACTTGGGACAATAAAGCAAGCAAAAACAAGATCCAAAGTCCTAATAACTGCAACAACAACTATTCTACCAAGTGTGATATATATAATAAAGTCATGGATAGAAATGACAATTAGATAAAAATATGATCTCAAACTTGAAGGAAAAATCAATAATGGAAGCCAGAACAAAAACAATTCACTATTTCTGGGACTAATTTATTTTATCTACTTCATATGAATTCTATTCTGTTTGCAATAGAATTCCCATTACGTCTCTCTGTTATAGTCCTTTAATTTACTCTTTTAAGTTCTTCCTCAAAAAGAAGAAAAAAGGGCAATTTATCCAGTTCAAAAATTGAAAAGATTTAAATGATGATAGAGATTAAACAAGGAAATTGAGCGTCGGGAAGTACCGAATTGTATGATCGATTTACTCCAAGTAACAGATTAAACCATCTGGAGTACTTTAGCTTGAACGGATTGATCGGGCCTCCGGCGTATGAAGGATGATTTGTAGAGAGAAAGTGCGAGAGCAGCGATGAGACTACCAAAGACGTCGGCAACAGCGTCCTTGGTAGATGCACCTGCTGACCTGAAATAACCCAGTTCGTCGGCGACCTCCTTAGCGGCGCCGGCAGCGAGTGAAATAATGGATCCGACCCAGATGCTCCGGCCGCGGATGAAAGGGTAACGAGTTTTTTCCGCGAGAAGAGTGAAAATGATAGCAATGAAGAAGCAGAAGAGGATGTGGTAAAGCTTATCAGGGGCTATCCAATCATCTCCTTCCTCCATTCCTTTTTTGTTTGCCCCAAGCAATTGATCAAACCAAAAAGCTAAATGGATCATAAATTGATTAATTAATTTAATTTCCCTACCAAAAAAGGGCAGGTTTGTAAGAGTCACGCCATTAGATCTAACAAGTATGATATTGGTTTTACTTTTCTTGTACATATAATATGCTTCACAAATGCAAATATCAATCATCCTTGATTATTCATCGTTTCCAAATGAAACCTCTAAATGCCTCGTTGTTAGTATTAGAACTCTGTTTCTTTATTAGCCTTGTTTATCAACTTGGGATCGTTTTATTTTGTACTAAAGATGGACCTGAGTACTACCATCTCACTCCAATTTGTTCTCATTTCGTCTTCTCAACGATAGGATTAGTGCAGAAGCTTTCAACAGTTTCATAGTAAAATATTGGTCTACACAAAAAAGCCGGACTACGGTTAAATGGATTTGGCTTCAAGACACAAATAAGAAACAACCCACGAAGAGGCTTACTGAGATCAATGGACGGTAAAAAAAATGAATATCGTTTTAACTACAATTCTTCTGCATCATACGAGAAAGTTGCAAGTGCTACATACTTAGATGACACTATCACAAACAATGAATACACCCAACAAATAGACCCACTTGAATATGCTAATTCATCTTGCTGACCAGTTCATTGATGTGATCCTCACGATTGCCTGAATCGCCCCCATCCAAAAATCGTTTTTTCTTACCCTGCAATGCCTTTTCTGGCTTGGTGAGAGCAAAGGGACACAGGAAAGTAGTGACCTCTTTGAAATGTGGACCAATGTTGGCGATCTCAGTCACTACGTCTTCTAAACATAAAATACCATTTTGACCCAATGCCTGCAAACAGTAAATAGTTACTACACAGGAACTCCCACAAACTATATACTAAGATGATAGATGCCTTCAGCAACTTGTACAAAGGGAAAACAAAGGAATTAAATTCATGGTACCTGTTCAACAACTTCGTTGCTGGTTAAAGGCACTCTCTGATTGTCAATTTTTCCAGCACCTTTCTTGTAAATCAGATCCTTGATGCTCTTGAGATTTGGATATCTTCAAAAGCATGAACAGAACCATTAAGACATATTCTACACAGCCCATAGTTAATGACAGCAGAGGAATACAGGGAATTTTTTTTGGACAAGGACAGAAAAGAAATGCAAAGACCTGCTAAAAACGTTTTGTTTTACATGGTTAAAAACTTAAAATTCCTGCTTAAAGAAGGGATATATAACAGCAATTTTGATGTTCTGCCAATATCAGGCATGGTTTCCAAGTAGATGGTGACCATTAGCTGTAAAAGCAGACCTATGTGATCCCGGTGTAAGTATTATTATTAACCTCCTGGTGTTGTATGATGGTAAAAATTTTCTTCTTCAAATGTAATTGTCTTCAAATTGGTGGGACCGTAGATGGATGAATATTCAGGGATAGCTGACACTGAAATGGTTATATGATAAAAAATATGCTACAGGAATACATGACTTAATTAAGGTTCTCATTTTCCTCTTTCTTGACATACAGCAATTTAACTATCAAAGAAGCAAATACAGATTTTGGCATGAGGAGAAAACTGCACTCTTCAAAAGGAAAAAAAAGTATTGAGATAATACAAATATTCAAAATAAGGTCCATTAGCAGCTCTAATATGAATGTAAAATTAAATTTCTGGGACAAAGAAAGTCAGCACCAATCAATAGAACATTGAAGAAAGGGGCAACAATTGTCTCCTTCCAAAGAGAAAATAGCACAACTATTTGTATGCTTGATTGGGCAAATGCTAACACGTAGATATTGCTTAATTCTTAGACAATTACTAGGGCTTCCATGTTGTAGAATGAGGTGTTTACTAGAGATTTTGCGTGAAAGGCACACTAGATGCTAATATGCCATGCAAACAACAAAATTAATGGAAGAAAAATATATCATGTTAAAGATAGCTTTAAACTTAAAACAAGCAGAGTCATGCGACATTTGTACAACTGAAACATAGAATTGACCTGCTGTTACGAGTCATTCAAATTTTCTCCTATTTAGGAAATTTCATTTTTGCCTTAGTCAAACAACTTCCTACATTTAATGTTAGTACCCCCATAGCTAGGGTATGCTTAGTTTCAGATCCAACCCAGAAGGTGGAAATAGCATGGTATGGCCATTCAGTTAAGTGTGGCTGTTTGGATACAGCCTACTATAGTTACGCATTAAGAAAAAAAGATACGGAAATGTCAAGCGAGGAACTTGTCCAAACTTATTTAATGCTGCAGGACATCAAACTGTCATGCAGTTGTAAGCATCGGTTATTCCAACACAGCCACCAAAGCACCTTCATGCTGTAGTTATACTAGATGTCTAACAGCACATTTAACTTGACAAGACTGACATAGCCAAGAGAGAGAAGGTAAAACACCTTGTCACATGTATTAAGGACTAGACACATACAATGGGGACAGGGAAAAGTACTCAGCCAAAACCAAGAAACCAGTAAGATAAAAAGGTGAGATCACCCGCTTTCCAGTAAGCGTAATGCCTATAGTTACTGATTTGAGGTTGAGTGCTTTAAGGATATCCAGTAAAATGAGTTCATCAAATGTCATGCAGCAAAATAACAGAAAAGGCTACTTAAACCTACCCATATGTGACAAAAGGCTCCACCTTTTGCAGGATTTCTAATATTCTTGCATCTGCCTTCACAAAAACACCATTGAAGATTTTCCGCAGCCTCAAAGAGTACAAGAGCTTTCGTGTTCTTGGATGCATATCAGATTTCCTGAAGTGAAATACAATTATTAGGACCCAAAAGTAAGTTACCCTAGCCTAAAAGTAAAAGTATGATCATAAAACCAGGAACTCACCCTCCAATGCGTATGACAAAAAGGAGACTGGAATCAGAAGTGACAAAAGCTCGCCTGGATCTGTTCTTTCCCCTTTGTTTCATTTGGACAAGGTCCATCTCCTAAATATATTTACAACAACTCAGATAAGAAGAATGTTGAACGAACAATACACTACAATTCATAAATCAGATTATTGCAAGGTGATTGCTCAGAAAAGGTAGATAATCATCATTACTGTAGGTGAGTATAAGGCAAAAGTAGTTCCAGAGTGTTGTGCAGTCCTGATCCCCTAAATTTTAACATGTAATGAATCTTTCCTTAATACATTTTTGTCCATACTGCTTCACAAGGTCTTTTACCATCTTTCTTCTAGAAATTGCACAAATACTGTCTCGTCTCTTTCTTGGAGCGTCATTAATTGTGTATTATGACCATCAGACCCCTAGAGAACGCTAGTGAGAAGATTTGACCACATTGATTTTCATATTCAGGAAAGACAAAGGATGCTGGTTACTTGCAAGTGATTATAAGAAAAATTGGAGATCATTTAGTTTAGGGACACCAAATTAAAGGATAAGTGAACCTGAGTAAATATCACACCTTACATACACATATATCAAAACTTAACAATTGTCACTGCCACTGCACCACAAAATTCCTGATAAAAGATTCTACAACCGATAAAGAAACTCAAAACAAAAATAAAATGCTGAAGCCAATAGAAAAAAATGGAAACATTGAACGATTGCTTGATGAAATAAATTGAATGCGTCACTAATAAAAAAATAATCAAAAGGAGATGTGTGCAAGCAATAATCTTACAGTTGACGAAGGGAAAGAACTGAAATTCAATTTAAACAAAAGATACAATTCATAGATTCACATACCTTATCCCTGTACTCTCGAATGAACTGCTCAGGCTTCTTGATAACAAAATTATCAGATTTAAGTTTCTTGACTTTCTGCTCTAGTTGGAGTTTTCTTCTAATTGCCCATTCTTCATTGTTCTTCCTCTTCTTTAAAATCACTTCTGGTATATAATTTAGAGGCTGTGGCATCTCCTCTGCCATTGTTAGCTATCTCTGCCAGGAGAAATGGGCAATAGTAGAAAAAAGCAGTATTAGATATATGGACAATCAAACTTCTCAAACACTAACTTTAACTCAATTTAGGGGATTGACTTGAATAAGTTGATCTCAAATGCTTGAAATCATAAGATATTGTAAAAACTGAAAACAATAATATTGGCAACACTGAAACCATAATTCTGAATAGAATGATACGGAAAACAACTTGAATTTTATGAATTTCATTCAATGAAATGCAAACTCACAACATTAAGGTAAATATTTTAGGTTTATATTAACAGACATGTCCATAGCATTAATTTTAGGAACACTCAAAGCTAAAGTCACGACCCGACATCTGAAGCGATTATCATATAGAAAAAAAATGATTTGCATATTAATTAGTAAGAAACACAGAAAAAGTAGCTAAAGCTCACATATATATGCATTCTAACAGAAAAACCCAGTACGAAAATAGAGATATAGGTTAATTTATGTTTTGGAGAGAAAGTGATAGTGATACACAGAGGTACGACAAATAAAGAGAGAAAAAGACTTACGATTAGATAACGCCTCGGGAGAGTTACGCCGACGAGTTGTTCGCCGGAGAGGAGCAAGTCCACAGACGAGGTTCAGTGGCGAGGGAGGTTTAGGGTTTTGGATTTTGGACCGGGAAAGAGGAAGAGAATTATAAGGCGATTTGAGAAATCAACAAAAAGAAGGGCCGGATCTTATGAAATTGGGCCTTATGATATACAAATGTATTGGGCTTTTCGATTCAAAACCAGTGAGAACCAAGTCCACTTAGACACGGGAGAGAATTAGGAATTTTGTACTTTAGCGGCCGTTAATTAATAATAATATCTTAATTATCGCAAAATATGTTTTTAGATGCAATTACACTCTTTGTAAATATTCTTAAAGCCTATAGCGATATTGAGTACAATAACAATTAACTAATGCCGATAAAAACTTTAGCGCTCTTTCTAAATGTGCATATTTATTAATGCTAAAAACTGTTTTTACAATAACCCTTTGGGGTGACCCAGTGGTTTGGGCTTGGGACTTCCATGCTGGAGGTCTCAAGTTCAAAACCCCTTGCCACCCCCTGTGCGTACCCAAAAGGGGAAAAATCACACCATATACATATTTAAGAGATAATATTACGGGTTTTAAACATACTTTAAAAATATTCTTACTT